CTTCATGAATTCTTTCTTTGCCGTGTCACACTGTTTGGAACATTCCGATCTTTCCTTTACTCCTTCATCCAAATAGGCAGTCATAAGACAGCACCCCAAATGGCCACACGGAAGTGCATAGTGCATAGTTAATGGTTGTAACAACTGAACTGAACTGGAAAAGGTTTTTACTCAAAATTTGGCCATGGAGTTGAGTGTGGGCTGGAACTGTGAGGAGGGACTAGACAGCTGAGAAAGAGGATTCTCCATGTGGTTGTTTGATACCTTAGCGCTTTCGTGTGGGTAGGTAAGTGGGTGATGTAATCAATTGTTACTGAATACGAGAAGCGCAAAAACCCGATGCATTTGAGGATTGGTCGGGTCAACACAATCGCATTCTTGAGGCTATGCTCAAAGTTAATATGTTGCACAATCTCCAGTTCTATTTTCTTTAATCTTTGGTGCAGAACGTGATTACAGAATCTAATATGCAGTGATATTATTTGTTGTCATCACAAAAAGTTATCCGTGATGCCACAGGATGCAATGACTTTGTGGCTGAAACCACCCTGATGTGTACGAATCGTGTCTGATATCACTGTCAGCCGATTGTCTCAGGGATAGCACTTGTTTTGACAGGAAAAGCGTATACAGTCGAGGAATAAAGCTTAGATGTCCCCGATAAGCCGGGCAGCTGGCGCTATTCTGGCGTAAAACAAAAAAGTGAGTAGTTTCTGTCCCGTGACAATTAGCCAGATAACTGCGGTGTGGTTTTGTGTCGGGCAACGTCCCAGCTGCTTATCACCTCAGTGGGTTTCACACCCGCCCGTACCGAACAGTAGGCTGGTTTTACTAATTGAAATGCACCGAATGTCGTACGTGAAGTAAACGTTTCGGAATGTTTTTTTTTGTTGGTTTTGTTGATTGTTGGTGAAGGTTGAGGACAAATCGTCTCCGGGTCAGCGGTGCATTTATGGATTCGTTATGTAGTCAAATCGTAAGAATGTATACTTATCAGTACATATTATTGTGTCCTCCCCCACCTGGGCGAAAACTAGTGGATGAGATGAGTTCATTTGTAGAATGGTAGTACAAGATGCATCAAATAATTAAAAACTTCAGAGAAAAAGTTCTGAAATTCCCAGATCCCAGGCCAAAATTTTTCCTATTTGGAACTGGGAAATTATTATTTTTTGTCAGACGCTGAGCACGAAAAAGTAAGGGTTTTTTCTCGGTTAAGTCTGCAACCTTTTCTCTTAGTCCACCTCGGCCCTCCTTAATACAAGAAAAAATACCGTATGTTATCCGCTAATTTCTCTAGGATTGTCACAGGTATGGGTTTGCATAATTTCTTGACGGTAAACAACGCTTTCACTGTCCTTTTAGCGAACCATGTTTGGAGTAGTCCATTCGATTGTTCACAAGCACCATGCATTGTTGGTGGTGTTTTCCCGTGGTATCCGGGGCAATAAGCTTTTCAAAATCCTCTTATTTCAGCGCTAAAGACAGTGAAAAAAACAGCTTGTTCTTAGCTTATCTCGCAATCAGGTCATCAAACAGTTAGTTTGGGTTTGGTCAGACGAAATAGAGATCGTTAAAGGGAATATTGATCTGTGAACATAAGGAGGGGGAGTGGTCAAGCTTTCATTGGTTAAGACGGTGACTGTTTGACCTCTTTAGAGGTTACGAGATCCCAAAAGAATTCAATGTTAATGAAGAAAGCTCACCGGATTAGCGTTTATCTATATGAATAAAGTCTTGTTGTAAATGTCACGTGTTCTCGGAATCCGATTTTGTCCCAGTTGGATATTCATTGATCTGACAGTTGAGTTCTGTTTTCAATTTTCATTTTCCGACCAGAAGCTATCGGTTAATCAATAGAAATGGACGTATAAGAATAAATATTGGACGTTATTTAGAGTCTCAACCTGCAAACAGTCCCGTTTTTAGCGTTTACCTCGATTAGTATGCATACGAGTACGAGTTTTTATCTCTTTCGAAAAGTTTCGTGGTAAGCCTCATCTGATTCCGCAATTTACCTACAACGTAGAAATGAATTACCTATTTGTTCATCGTAAACCTGGAAATGAATTTTATTGTTTCCATTTCCAGTGCTTAGTTTACCTGCCTTGTGACAGTCGAAGGTATTCAATCCCAAATAATAAATAAATTATCCTCATCGCTGAAATGGGCTAGTTTCGTTTTCATCCACTCGTCTAGCTGGGTAGTTTGTTCGCAATCTTTTCATCGCCAGTTGAGGCGGTATCTTCGGTGCTTGCGGTATCGTGTGGTGGTGTGTGTGTGGTCTTACATCCTTCTTCTGATGTTGTTACCGGATGGAAAAATAAGAAATCAATAGATGTGATGAATGACTCTCTCTGCTTTACAAGTCGTAGGTCAGAGGACGTAGCGATTCCGATGTGTTCCTATTCAAATCAAACTCGGATGTGCTATGCCCTCAGTTTCTTCATGTGTTGCTGTGACTTGAATCCGAGACTGATCGGACCAACTCAGTTGTTTGTTGATAGAATGCAGCGCAACTCCATGTTTGCAAGCCTGTTTTTTTTAAATTCCTGTCATCCGCAATCTGAATTCGTCTCGTAGATTAAAATACCTAACTGAGCACGGACAGAATAGTGATCCTATGGCTCGCAGCTTCAACAAGTCCCTCTAGGAGGCATACAAAACAGAAATCTAAAGGGCTCCTAGGTTGTTTTGTGTGTGGAGGAGGGGTGTGGTGGATCTGTTGTTACCACTTCAAATCTCTTTTATGACTGTGCGTATGAGCTGACTCATGTTAAACAGATTGTGTTCAGCCTGTCTATCTCCTCTTCAAACCGTCAGAAACCTGTCTGATACAATCATCCAGTGTATCAATAGACGTGTCTTGGGATTTTCCCACTCCCTAGACATTTCCCACGGGTATATGAATGTCTGTGACCGCTTTTATGTGAGAAAAGCTTGCTCCGGTGTGCTTTCCCACCAGTAAACATTTAGTTACGAGAAACAGATACCCTATGTGCTTTTATCAATACTGATTAGTTGTTACTTCCAGCGGCCAGGGTATTCGAGTGCAGTGTGTGTAGTGCTTTGTACGTTACCCTCAGCTGTTTGCGTGTGTAAAAGAGCGAAGTAGGTCATCAGAATGCAGTAACTGCTTCTCAAAGGTGCATCAAAGCTCTCAAAACCGGTTCACACCACTCGTGGTACACATCAAATCAGACATAATACCGATTTGGATTGGTGAAAATAGATTGTGTGCCGGAATTGAAACGCTTTGCTCAAATTCGCCTGCCTGTTTGCTCGTTCGTCTAGGGCAATACAATTTTTAAAATCACCTTTAAAGTCTTTGAATGAAACCCAGGTGATCGCTGTCCGTCAGTGTTTCGCGAAAGTTTTCTTCCGATCCCTCTCTCTCTCTCTAACTGTACATCTCGTAACTATATTTTGCCGTACCTCTCAACTGTTCTTGTCGATAAGGCGAAAATTTCCCCAGATTCACGTATTCGCTTGACTTGATCCATATTTTGCCACAGATATGGTAGAAAAAAGCTGAAAATCCGTCCACTTGGATGCATATAACCACCACTGATCTGACTCAACTTTTCAGTTTTTTTAGTCACCTTCACCTTGATCCGAAATGCGATGAAATCTTCAGCAGGGGAAGTACATTCTCATGCATATCAACAGATATTTTATATCAACAAAAATCCTAAATGTTTTTCTCAATCACGGTCGGATTGCAGTTTTCGTTCGCTCATCAGTTCAATCGTCGTGGTTCTATGCGGTTGACGTGACAAACTCGCCACCTGTGAGATTAAGAGCTTAAAGTGCACCTGAAGTGCACAGCATTGCAAGTCTCAAGTGTCAACAATGCACGACAATACACAGGACCTGCTTTCTTTCATTGAATGCACAATGTCATAAATTTCTGAAAGGGGTAAGTAGTACACATTGGGGAAAATCACGCGGTGGTGGTAAGATTCGAACACGTGTCCCTGCGGAATGCTAATTTGGCGATTTTACCACCGGGCCCTTAACGCCCATTATTTGTTGAATCATTTCATTGACTTACTGCGAAACATCCTGTTGATCTGTTCATTCACTTATGCCTACTTAAATGGCACACTTGACACACAACTGGAGTCCGTACCAGGTTTGATCAACACGTTTTCTGTTCATATTAGCTCTATAACTCTGGGGAACTTTCATTTCAAATCGAGACAATATATTCGCAAAAATTGGTTAATCGCACTTTGAGGTTTGCTTTTTACGACGAAAATAATAAGAATAATAATCCTGATTTTTTTAACTCACTACGAAGAAATGTGTTTATATATATATATATATATATATATATATATATAATGTATATACAACAGTAACTTACAGTAATTTTGTCCGCGTAATTCTGAATACATTCTGCTCAATCTTCGTTTTTTGGTATTGTTTCTTCTGCTGGGTTTGTCCGTTGGGTATGCTTTTGTCTTCATTTGATACGCTTTATCGTATTCTCATTGGACACTTGAAAATTAAGTGAATGGTAGGCATATGAGCTAACGTAAGTTATAGAAATACAAATACAAAGTCAATCCATATTCTCTCTACCAGGTTTTTGTACGGTTCAAATCCTCTCTATCGAATCATGCATGAAGTTTCTTGTTCTCACTGCGGTTTCTCATCGAACCGCAAATGTATAAAACGAACCCGAATTCCGACCATTGACATTAGGGTCTGTGCAAATCGCATTCAACTGAACTCCGCCGTTCGACCTCTATCCAAATAGATCCTTCCTAGATGCTTATCTGTTCATGAAAATATGCGCCACTTCTGCTTTCACTCGGTGTATGTGTACTCGAGGGGGGGGGGGCGTTTAGGCACAATTTATTCTGCACTTGCTTTTCTAGCTGCACTTATCTATTCGATGACATATATAGATAACATTGCATTCATTTTCCGATTTCTGTTCACCACTCACCCCACCTCCTCCTGTCATTTCTCTTTCTCTCATCCTCTTCTAGGAGCGAATTCAGATCGATGGTGAAATTCTCTATGCCCTGCTAAAACGTATCCATCCGCCGATTTATAAGCTACTGGTAAGTCACCCAGCTTCTCACCTGGTTGATGTCCTCACTCCAATCCGCGCTCTCATGAACACACGCACACAGGTCTATCCGGTATCTTGAACTGTTGGATTCTGCGGAGAATCAGCGGCAGTATCTGAGGATGGCGGTCCAATTTTTTTATGAAAAACCACGATTTTCGTCAAAGAACATGATGTGTGTATGTGTTAATTTAGAGGATTAAGTGTTTGTCTACGTTTGTGGTTTTCACTTGGAATCCTTAAAACTTATTAGCTTCCTGCGTATTGGTGACATGTTTCCCGAGGGAACCAACCGTCTTTCAACGCAATAGGAATCTGTTGTAATTTATGCACAACAAAACATTCTTTTTTGACTAAAAAAACAGATATCTGAATTGGATAGTTTCCGACATAGTCCGCATAGTCACACAATAGGTGATGTGGTTCGCAAACTGGCACACCGCTGAACAGCGTGGTTCATATGACAATCTAAGGTGATGTATCTCTGTACCCTCCCGCTATCCTAGTGCGATGTGATGAGTGAGCGGTATTTTCGGACTATCCATCTGTGTTATCCACGACGTTCTTGGATCAGGCCCCTAATGTACAGTTGGCACATTTCGAATTGCTTTATCATGAGCACGTAGAATGATTAATTCTGGCCTTGTAGATTTCCATCGATGAAAATCCACCCCGCATGATGTGAAGATCTGTATTTAGTGATGACTAAAATTTTTCGCTCCAAACAAAGTTTTTCTTGTGCATACAACTATCCAACCAACCACCCGTAGATGATGACATTGGAAAAAAATATGTGAAAAGTATACACACCACATAGGGGAGCAACAAAAACAAAACAGTGTGCGGTCAGCTGTGTGTGTGTTTGTGTGTGTGTGTGTAAACCAGATGAAGTCTGCAAATTGTTAACGATGAGCACATCATTCACACAAACGAATATAGTAACTGTCTGTATTAGTACTTTTACTATATTTCACACTCTGGAATCTGATGGTATGTTAGCAAAATCTTTCCGTCAAATATAACGGATTGGTAATTTTTCCCGAAACGTAGTGATGCAGTCAGATTAATCAAACCCAACTACATGATTTTTCTGGAATGCACAGCTGGAGTCCCTTCAGTCGGTCCCACTTGGACTCGCTATCGGCCGGTATCAAGTTTGTCTGATCTCTCCGCATTGAGATGCGAATCACACATATGGTGTGCTTAATGCATCCATTCGAGTCAGTGATAACGGCGATCACTTGGGTGTTCACCTTTTCTTCGAAGCTTTGAAATTTGTTTTTTTTTGTGGGCCATGTAAAGGATATAAGTGCGTGCAGTAGCTGCGTGCGTGACAAACATTTCATATATATTATATATATATATATATATATATATATATATAACACCTCTGAGTGCAGACTGTGTAGTAAACAAATCACAGCACAATGTTCTTTATCGAAAAGCGAAAAATTCTGTGGTTTTCTTGTGGTTGTGCTCGGAGGAATTCACTACCGGAGCCTTCGGCTAGCTGAAGCCTGTCTCTCTGGGTAGTGGGGTGGTTTGTGCAGTCACAGTCCATTTAGGGCGTTCGTCTGCACAATCCCCTCTGTGTGCCCAAAAACAATTTGTGCAAGCACTAAAGCTTCCCTGACCCATCCCTTAAACACACTGCATCACGAGTAATCTCAATGATCGGGTGACTGGACAAAAAATATGTGATCGTAGTGAATCTGATCTCCAGTCTCATGATGAAATCGTTTCTAGTAATCTGTGGTTTTTTTTCATTCTCCCAAGGCACTTTTTATTTCTAAGTAGTGATATATATATGGAGATCTATTGGTATGAATACGAATCTATGGAAATGAGCTTGTTCGCCATCCTTACTAATGCGATTGATGATGGTGATCAGTATGTGGTTCCGTAGGTGGCTACCATTAATAGTTTGTTACCAACTAACAAAAACCTAGAACCTTGNATAAATGACGGTTACGGTGTTAAATACTGACACACGTGTCCCAGGACTGCGTATTGAGCACGCTGAGATTGGTGCATTTCTCTCTAGCATGTACCGTGATCAGTGGTGTAACCAGTTGATTCGCACAAATTAACGAAATTCATCTTCGCTTGTTGTGGGTAACAGACACCTCACTCACCTCATCATTAGTCTGTGTGATTATGGTCCGGTTGAAGACGCATTCTTTTTTCCATGCCACTTGTGATGGCTTTGATTCGACCAAATGCTGGATTTCATCGCGTGTACTGAAAATCTTGAAATCATTAATCAGCTGCTTCGACCTGTTTGAGTCACAGTGCAGTGCGAATCCATCGACCCAACTGAGGTTTAAACTAGGAGAAACGCAAGTGTGCTATCAACATGACTGCAGATAGGTGATCATCCCGTTTTTCGTGTAATCTTTAAACAATTGGGTTGATCATTCGCATACCCAAGGCTCAAGCAACGTGCACAGGACTGATGTGACCTTTTTACTTCATTTGTGAGGCTGATCAGTTCTGGTTCACGTGTATGAAACCTTTGATTTGCGAGTTGAAGACACCCGTTGATTAGAGATTTTCGACAACCGATGCTCGAGTAGTTTGGTTCAGGTGGGTTGAGGTGAACAGGTGGGTAACCCCTTGAGGTAAACTGTGTGGTCTTTGGAAATATATCAACGAAAACTTTGTCATCATATCAATGTGATATTGATAGGCTTCTCTGGTTTGAGCACGGATTGCGCATGTTTACCGATCGTCTACTGTACGAGGCCTCACGTACGGTTACTTCTCTGGGTCTGAATAAGCCACATGTAGACCAACGGATGACGTGGAGACGAGGCCTAAAAGTTCATAGTGACGATCTCATCTTCCGAGTTATAATTCTTGTTGCCATTTTTATCTAGTGAAAATACCGAAGATGTACATGAACTTTTTCCACTGCATTGATCATAGAAGTTCATTTTTTCTTTTCTCTCCACTCTCCACACTCATACTTAATTTGTGTACATTGCGAGTTTGTCAACCAGGTGATTAGGTGGTTAGATTAGGTTGTTCAGAAATTTGCAGTAATTGGCTTCAGTACGATGTCTAGTTGGGAGCACAAGCCGGTCCATCTAAATGGTTTCCTGTCCAAACGGGTTCAGGCGGATGAATCACACCATGATCCATGTGGTCACCACACACGAATTCTGGAGGTGACAATGACCTAGCGAGTTCAGACAATCTATCACTACATTTTTTTCCGATGCGTATATTTTACATTACTCACTAAACTCGTAGTTTTCTTTGGTTGTATATAAGAGGAACCCTTCGTCGGCATCTGGAACGTAAACCGCGCTGATTCACTCTGTGAATGAGAGTTTCAACTGAAGTAGTGTATGGCTAATATAGCGTTGGTCTGGAAGAGGAGCGCTTAGTTTCTGCTGTTTTCTCTAGAAAACGGTCTTCTATATCAGCTATTTTCCATCGTGGACCATTTTCACACTACCGCTTATACATGTCCTGTATATTGTGAGTTTGGTGGTGAGGATGCGGTAAAAGAAGAAAAAGAGGACAGAAAGCTTTTTTACATTCGTCCATGTAACAACTGCGCTGATCATGTTCACAAAGGAAATCGCTGTCACCGAAAAACTGTCCGTCAATCAAATGGTAACGTTGAATATTTAGTATGAGATTGAAACATGTGAAGAACCCCGCACAGGAGCTGAAACTGGCACCACTCGACGACCATCATCACCCCGGTTAATTGACATCTCACCGATACATTTATGGCCGAAAGGTGTAATCTCGACTGTAAATGACCAGGTGTCACAAGTGTCGATCAACCCGCATCGATCCGCGTTGTTCAGTCGACATGCAAATCCCATTGTGCATGATTGAAGTAATCGTCCATTTGTTCGGATCACTCTGCCTGTTTCAACCATTGCGGAATCAGCTTAAGTCACTCCGGGGCATCAGTATATTTTCATTTCGTTCCACCGGTTTCGCGATTTTCACCTAAGATGCCAAATCACGTACTTGACCTGAACGGAGCGGCAATGTTGCAAACCCAGTTTATCTGGACTACTATTCATCACCGTAAGATGCAATCTAAACAAACTTCAACCATAAATAGGATATTCAGCGTCCATCAAAGATGTCACAATAAGTTGTGATCCCGCAGTCTTTTTCGTTGATCAATAAATGCAACACTGTTGAGGTTAGTCGAACTGATAACCAACCAACTCTTTATGCCTCTGTAAGTTGGATTAGTGATTCGAATGTGAAAAGATCAGTGTGCTGTCGGTGTGGTCTCGTAGCTGGTAGAGCCTGCGTGTACAAAGCGTAAGCGACGTCTGTGCGTGGGTTCAAATCCCACCGAGGCTACTGAACTTATCACAATCGCCATACAACTCTTTTGTCTATTTATCCCTTCCACGGTATCATTTTATCTTGACCCACCCATCGTGTTATCCTACATTTTAGTGCATCAAACCACTGGTTCATAACGAACGATTTTGTTGTTCATAAAATAAAAGAGATGAGGATTGTCGTTGTTTAGAGATGCTGAGAGATATGGCACGAATGCTGTACTGTCTGCCTGTCGAAATCCTGCGTCCCGTAAAAAAAAACGAAAAAAACGTATCAAAAGGTGTACGGTGTACAAAAATGTTTTGTTCTTCCAGATATCTTCCGTTCTCCCGTGTTTGACTGTTTCACCCCCTTTTCACCGTGTTCTGAACTCCAATCCACCTGTCCCCGTTCATTGTTATTGTAATTATTGTTGTTGCGTTGGCTCCATGCTTGTCTACAAGCTGGTGGTAAATAAATAAATCATAAAATATTGTCTTCTGTGCATTTTTCCATGCTTTTTGGAAGCTCTCGAATTGATCCTATTCATTGTTTCTCCTTTTATGCGGTCGATAAACATTCACATTACATGCGTCTGATGGCACAGGCGGATAAGCAGTGCCGAAGTTAGTTGAAGAGTACTAGATGGTCCCGTTTCATCCCTCGGCGAAAGTGATTGACCTCCATATTTTGCGCTGGTCTGATTACGCACTACGTATTTCACCAGAAAGTCTTCCTTAACAAACGATCTTTATCGGGCCCAGTTTGTAGTTGGAA